TCTCTTTCTCTATAGGGATGAGTCATCCCCATACAGACTAAAACCTGTAGAATGTTTTAAAATCAAAGAAAACCTTTCCCATTCTGTTAAAAAAAAAGCCAGAAAATTCTATGCTCCACTATATATCAGCATTAATTTTGTGATGTCAAGCCACAAGTGCTATTGTAAAAATTCATAGCTCCCTGTGGACAGTAACATGTAGGAGAGGCAATTTTCAAGCATGGCCAAGGTACAAGCCAATAAATTAATCTGTGGTGCCAAAAAATACCTGCAGCACATAGCTTACCAGTAATTATTTGGGTTGGAGAAAACTATTTCAAAACATTCTTAACACTGGATCACATTAATCTATATCAAATGCTCTTTACTGGCTAATGTCTAAACCACTGGTATCCATTTTCTGCAACAATATTTTTTTGATATCTAAAGACAATTTTTAAATTGAGTGTACCCCAGAAAACCACAAAAATCCACTTGGCAGTAGTCATCATAAAGATATCCACCCAAACTGTTAAGTCTAACATTCCTCAATCATAGCAGCTTGAGAGAAAAGTTATAGATTATGAAACAGCAAATAAATAATGATCTGTAACACCACAGTCAGTTTACAGACTAGATTATTTTTCCTTGAAAAAAATGCCAAAAAGTAGTAAACCTTGCTTTTAATTATGGGGCTATCAGTAACCTACCTAATATTCTGATTTTAAATGACAGGGCAGGGTCACCCCTAGGCAAAATTGTGGATCAGAGCCACTTGTGATGCTCTCCAAGGTACAACCTAACTGTTAACTACTGAAGCATCCCAGAATGCTGCAACAATGAAATAACAATTATATTATACTTACATACAGATTACAATGGTCCCACGTAAGGGTCCAGCTTCTTTGCTGGCTGTCCAAGGCCCACTACAAACTGACCCTCTCTTACTTCTCCAGCTTTACCCAACATCACATCCAGCAAATTGGATCATCTGTCATTTTCCCGGTCTGTACTGCAGGCTTTTCTGTGGGGAGCGCCTCTGGGTTAACAGTTCCCTATGCCCAAGAAAAGCAGGGTACTCTGCACTTAAAACATTTGCTAAATTGAAAGAAAAGTGAAACTTGGCAGGACAGTAGTTACTGGCAAATAGGCCATCACAGCTTGTAGTTAGGCATCCTCTGTAACCTTTCATTGTCTAACAAGGAGAGAAAAGGAGAAGGGAGGAGCCTTTATGGAGAGAGGAAAATTCACCTGGGAAAGTAAAACAAGACCATGGGAAAGCTGTGCTGACTAGCTTGCCTCTGACAGACAAACCACAATCCCAATGCCTACCTAGTAACTGAGCTACTTACTATCAAGCACGTTCTTTCCACACGGGCTGTTTTACAGTGGGGCTTCTCTGGTCATATTTCTGAATTACTTCACTTATTTCAAGATCACTGGATTGATAGCAAAATAAAAAAATTCAGATAGAATGACTTTAAATGCTCATACAGTTGTTAGTATCCTCTAATGACAGACCTAAGACAGGTTTTTTACCACTCTGGTACAAGCTGATCACAATTCCAGTCTCTCTGTAAACAGCAGACCTACAGGAAGCTTAATGGTAGGTCTCTGCAAAGCCACAGAGAGTAGAGAATTCCAAGCCAGCAATATATAATTAACTCTAAGAATCAGTGCTCTTTAACACTTACAGAAGATCCCACTTGTTATTAACAAAAGATTCTTCCTGGAAGGACACTGACTTTAAAGGCAGGAAAAAAATGATACAGGCAAAAAATGATTTTAGGGTTCCAATGGAAATAAGGAAGATACCTTCAGAAAACCACCAGCCCCAAAATAGACATGATTAGCAAAATATGAGAGACAGAAAGAAAACAGGGGGTTTGAGTATAAAGAGTACTTTCTAGAAGTTAGCTTTTGTGCTGAGATACACTTCAACAATATAGAGACATGAAAGCCTTTTTTGTTTTCTAAAGCACAGATGTTGCCCATGCATACAAGCGTGAATCACCATGAAATCTAGAGGCAGGAATGTAATTTTATCAAAGGTAGATAATAAAAGTAATCTGAAGGAAAGAAAAATGAGAACACAGAGACTAAAAATGTTATAGCCATGTTAAATCATCTCTTTTAAATCCTTTTCTACCAAAAGTCATTTAACTAAGGAACAGTGAGGAAAGGCTGCTGAGAAAATAGCTTCTTTTCAGACTAGGCAAAAGTTAAAAGAGAGAGAGAGAGAGAGAGAGAGAGAGAGAGAGAGAGAGAGAGAGAGAGAGAGAGAGAGAGAGGGAGAGAGAGAGAGAGAGAGGGAGAGAGAGAGAGAGAGAGAAGCCAAATTTGATTATATAATAGGTAGGAAGATCATAAATGATTATGCTTCTATATGAATCTGTAAATGAAGTAGTACAAATATAGAAAGGGCAACCACACAAGGAACAACAGTAGGGTATGGCAAATTAGGGAAAAGTTCTACTTGAATTTGATTACACGGTCTAGGTATATTTAGTTGAAGAGGTGCATTATTCAGTAGTTAGAAATAGCTTTCATGAATTTTTTTTAAAAAAGCCTATTAGTAAGGATTCTTCTCAACGTCTTTTTTATCTATCTACAACCAGCTCTCACTTTATCTATGATAATAGCAGAAAAGATTTCTTAAAAAGCCTGAGTAAAAAGAGTTAGCAAGTCCCCCCAATGTATAGGATAAAGAGACATGAGAGGAAGGATTCAGGAAAAGGACTTTGCCCTCCTCCAACCTTGAATCTTGGCACAAAATTCTCACTATTCATGTCATTGATGGGTTTTGGAACAAAACAAGGGAGCAGATTCATCTTTAGAAGATCATAGTTATATGTATGCAAGCATGCAGGCAGGTATATTCATACTTCCGTTGTTCAGTCATGTCCGACTTTATTTGACCCATTTGGGGTTTTCTTGGCAGAGATACTAGAATGGTTTGCCATTTCCCTCTCCAGCTCATTTTACAGATGAGGAAAAGGAGGCAAACAGGGTTAAGTGACTTGCCCAGGATCTTACAGTTAGTGTCTGAGGCTGCATTTGAACTCAGGTCTTTTTGACTCCAGGACTGGTACTCTATCCATGATCACACACACACACACAAACACACACATATGTATAAAATATTTACACACATGTAATCATAGATTTAAAGCTGAAAGGGATCTTAGGGCTCATTTGGTTCAAACCCCTTGTTTTATAGATGGGAAAACTGAGTCCAAGTAGGTACAGTGACTTGCTCAAGGTGTCGTAAGCAGCAGAACTAGGATATATGTTTGTGTGTGTGAGAGTGCACGTGTATACACACATACTATCAAGAAGAAGAGGCAATGAGCCAAGGACGACAGTACCCAGATGAGTTTCTGAAGGGAATGCCTGAAGGTGCATTAAGTACAAATTCATGTACATGGGAAAACAGAACCCCAACAACAAGGTGGATCAGAAAAGGTCAGAGGAGGAAAAGACACTCATGGACCAACCAACCAGGAAGTTATTAGGAAATAAAACCAGAAATTAAATCATCACAGAACTTAAAAACAAGACAGCCAGGAGTAATGGACTTCTGTCAGCACGTACCTAGTCTTGTTCTGGGAAAAGTGACACTTTCACTCAGAAGACACAAGTATTCTATTTTATAAGAACAGCATTATTCTCTCTAGTAGAGAAAAACAATACCTAAGGGTTTCTATAGTTCATAAGAATTATCAATTAAAAGACTATTCTTTTTTGGGCACCATACTCACCAAGCAATGTTATGATTTTTAATCTGGTATTTCAGTTACAGTATTAAGAAGTACCCTGAATAGGGAACATGAATGTTACAGTTACCATAAAGATATATTCCCAATTATAAGTTAATAAACTGACATTCTAGTTTCTAGGTCAATCTCATGGAAGTTTAATTAGTATAGGCCAGTTTTTTCCCCAGGACCTGTCTGATCATTTTCAAGTGAGTTGGTATTGCAGCTTCTGAACCTGTGGGATGACTGGCCAGCTCTGGGGCAAATGCAACTAATTCTGAATTCTCCGCCAAAAGCCAATTATGACTAAAATCTACAGATAACCTCTATCCTCCACGACCCCCATTTTCTCTATAATTCAGTCTTCCAGAGTTACAAATCTGGGACTGATCAGAGTTTTAACAAATCACACTGCTATTTAATGAAATGGTCAAAGGAATCTAACACAAAAGGTCAAAAGTTAAAGGTGTTTGGATAAACCTTAAACCATATCCACTGGATAGAAGGAAATAAGCATTTTATAAATATTATCTCATTTGATTCTCAAGGCAGATGCTATCATTTGCATTTTAGGGGAGGACACTGGGGCAGACAGGGGTTAGCTGACTTGCCCAGGGTCACACTGCTAGTAAATGTCTGGGGCTGGATTTGAACCTAGGTCTTCTTGTCTCCAGCTCAGCACTCTTTCCATTGTGCCACCAAGTTGTCTTACTGTGCCCCGAATCAATCAAAAATTAGGCAATTTGGATAAAAATAAAAAGGTCCAAAGAAAGACAGGCACATGAGCAATAAGTTATCATTTCTTGTCCTTATCACACAGAGCATAACAAGCTGGCTTATGTATCAGTAGGGAGAACAAATACAGATTTAACATTTCAATCAGAGAAGCAAGAGTTCCCTAATTTATCGATGGCACCTTGTGCTTAATTAATATCTGCAATACAGCAATCTAAGCCTGTCACAGGGACTAAGAGGCCTTAGTGCATAAACTCTAGACTCATTCAGCTCTGCTGCAGTAAGATTACTGCCATAAGAGACTCACTGCAAAGAGACGACAAATCACAGATTTAATGTACTTTTCCAGTTTATGAGAACGTCCCCCCTCATCTCATTGTAAAAAGTGATCTGTAGCTGGTCTCACAAAGTAAATCCAGAATGCAAACACAATTGAAAGCCTTCCCTGGGGATGGCATACGAGGTAATATGCTCTCATATGGGCTGAAAGAAAAGGAAAGAAAACAAACAAAACTTCTTAAAGGATACGGTCTGTACCAGGAAACAGTGTCCTTCCAGTCAACAGCTCTGCCATTATGCATCCCACTGACCAAATATCAACTAGGCAAAAATAAATGAAAGAGAAATTGCAAAGCACTGAAAGTATATTTGGCAACAAAGGAACTAAACAATTCAAGGCTGAACATCTTAAATATTGGCTACACAGAGACATCCAGTTTATATGACAAAACCATATTCATCAGGTTACATCAACGTTTCTAAGCTGACATTGTCAACTTTTATAGAAGGTAGAATTTATCAAAACCTCCATCTAAGGTGGGAATGATGTAACGCCCACAAAGCATCAAGTAGTTTTTTAATGGTAGGATGACAGATTCTGCCAATAAAAGGATCTGTCCAAATAGCAAAAGGATCCTTTATCCACAAGGAGAAATACCCTAAGGAGATATTACTGAAAAGTTCAATAAATTAAGCTCAAAAGGGCAAAACAATAAAGAGTCTCAACAATGGTTACGGAAACCAGATTGCTACTACATACAAACTTTAAAAAAAAATGAATAGAGGAGGGGGGCGAGTTGTTTTTTAAATACCTCAACAATGCGCTAAACAATGATCAGCAAGAAATACCTGTTTGGTTGTAATGCATCCAGTTCAGCATGATTTCAGGAGCCCTGTACCACCTGGTAGCCACATAGCCTGTCATTTCATCATCTGTGTGCCGGGCCAGTCCAAAATCTAGGATCTGAAGAAAAGGAGACCAGGTATTGTCCTGCTACTTCTCTTTCTTTCTTTTCTTTTTTTTTTTTTGAGGCATTTGGGGTTAAGCAACTTGCCCAAGGTCACACAGCTAGTAAGTCGAGTGTTTGGTCTGAGACTGGATTTGAACTCAGGTACTCCTGACTTCAGGGCCAGTGCTCTATCCACCGCGCCACCTCGCTGCCCCTGTCCTGCTACTTCTCCAAGGGTTCTTTCACAGTCTCCCATGATGGCTCCTTGTCCCTTCTAACAATTTATGGTAGCTGTTTCACAAGGCTTTATCTTTGGCCTTCTTCCCTATAAATTCTTCCTTGGTAATCCAATTCACTTACATAGCTCAATTTATGATCTCCACACAAATGACTTCCAAATCCATATCTCCAGGACTAATCTCTGCCTTAAGCTTCAGAGCCCCAACCTCCCAGATGCAAAATCAATCTTAAGGTCTTTCTTCCACACCTATTACTCTTTAATTTGGTTGACTTTGTCAGTGCCATCACCATTCAGTCTCAATTGTTTAAAGTCTTCCCGCTGGACCACTTCCTATGCCTTTGCACTGCCTGTCCCCCATGCCTAGAAGGTTCTCCCTCCTCATCTCCCTTCTCTTAGCTCTTTACCCTGGCTTCTTTCAAGATTCCAGCTCAAATTCTATCTACTTTGAAGAGTCCTCTTCTACTCCTTCCAACTGTAAGTACCTTTCCCTTTTAGGTTACCTTCGATCTGCTCTAGATATCCTGAATATACCTATGTCTCCTTCTATTAAAATATAAGCTCCTTGAGGACAAGGGTATTTTTTTGCTTTTTCTTTGTATCCCTAATGCTTAGTATAGTACCTGGCATATAGTAAGCACTTAGGAAATGCCTAATGATTGATTCTCTTCCTTCTCTCACCTTTATATTCAATTATATACTGTCCTGCCAATTTTTAAAAAACAAAGTTTATATCTTACTAGGCTTAATAAGTATAACAAATAACAGAACAGAGATAACATTCCATGGAAAACCACAAAATATTAGCTATGTTATTACATTATGATAAAAGTAAATATTATACTTAATAAAACATTAACCTTTTGCTCTTAGTCCTCTCCTGAACACTCTTCTCTCTGTATCCCTTTCATTTCTAATACTAACTGAGCGATCATGAAAAAGACACTACCTCTCTCTAAACCTTAGTTTCCTCATCTGCAAAATGGAGCTAAACCTTGCGCTACTACTGACTTTACAGGATGGTGGAAGGAAAGCATTCTGTAAACCTTAAAGCACTATGTAAGTATGAGTTATATATTCAATAGTTTTGTTGCTGTCATTTTAAAAAAAGACTCAGCAGATATGTTGATCTTTTAATTCTTTCTTCTCTTAAATCATTTTGTCTTCCCATTAAAAAATTTCAATTCCCATCCTTTAAATGGCACCACATTTTATTATAACACAATATATATTTATATATACATTTATTCAGTATTCTAACAATTTATTCACTATACCATGTATTTTAAAAATTTATAATTACAAATAAAATAAAAGCAATAAAATTATAAGAAAATATAATATAAATATAAAATATAATTACAAAGAAAATATTTTTCATATAGTATATTTGAAAAGTACACACATGGGAAAAATTGAGGCCATTCACTGACAACTTCCCCTCCCCCCTCCTCACCTCACATCTCACAGAGGTCTTCTGCCAGTATCTCTGCCTTCACTATCTCACATAATGAGACTTCTCCTTTCAAAGGCAAACCCCTCTACTTGAACAAGTGATCCTATTCCATCCTCTCTTCTCCAGCACACCCTCTCTGTCACACCCACTCTTATCTTAAATTTCTCCTTTTCTACTGGTTGCTTCCCTAATGGCTACAAACATGGTGATGTGTTCTCCACTCTCAAAAGAACCCCTTCATTTGATCCTTCCATCCCTGCTAGCTTTCATTCTATATTTCTCCTCCCTTTCATGGCTAAACTCTTTGAGAAAGCCCTTTACAGCTGGTGTCTCCATTTCCTTTCTTCTCACTCTCTTCTTAATTCCCTACAGTATGGATTCCAACTTCATCAATTCAACTGAAACTTCTCTCTCTCAAGTTACTAACAACCTCTTAATTGTCAAATCGAATGGCCTTTCCCCAATCATCCTTCTTGACTTCTCTGCAGTCATTGACAGCGACAATCACCCTCTTCTCCTTGCCATTCTTTCTAGGCTTTACTGACACTACTGGTTCTCCTCCTGCCTGTTTGACTGTTTCTCAGTCTCCTTTGCTGGATCTTTATCCAAGTCACACCTACTAACCAAGGGTATCCTCTAGGGCTCTGTCCTGGATCCCCTTTTTTTCTTCCTCTATATATTACTTCATTTAGTGAACTCATCAGCTCTGTTCAATTCAGCTGTCCTCTCTATAGTGATCTAATATATACTTATCCAGCCCTAACCTTTCTGCTGACTTTCAGTCTTCCATTTCCAATGGTTACTCAGACATCTTAAATTCAACATGTACAAAACTGAAATCATCTTTCCCCCCAAACCCTCCCTTCCTCCTAACTTCCATATTACTGCTAAAGGTGCCACCCATCTCCCAGTCACCCAGGCTAGCAATCTAGGTGTCATCCTCTACTTCTCCCTCTCCCTCAATGCACCCATCCAATCAGCTGTCAAGTCCTTTCATTTCTACCTTTATAACACGTCTTGCATATGGCCCTCTAGAGTCTCTCCTCTGATACTGGCACCATCTTGGTGCAGATCCTCATCACCTCATGCCTAGACTATTGAAATAATCTGCTGGTTGGTCTCCCTGCCACAAGCCTTTCCTTACTCCAGTCTCCTCCTCACTTGGCTGCCAAAGTGATCTTCCTCAAGCGCAGGTGTGATTGTGTCACTGCCCTATTCAATAAACAACAATGACTCCTTATCACCTCCAGGATCAAATATAAAATCGTTCTGCATTCAAAGCCCTTCACAACCTGTCCTGTCCCCCACCTTTTTGGCATTCTTTTATACTTTATACCCTTTCCAGAACTCTGTGATCCAGTAAGCTAGTCTCCTTGCTGTTTCTCCCACAAGATCCCCTATCTCTTAACTCCACTTTCACTGCTTGTCCCCCCCATGCCTGAAATTCTCTTCCTCCTCATCTCTGCCTACTAGCTTCAAGTCCCAACTAAAATCCCACTTTCTACAGGAAGCCTTTCCCATGCTCCCTCAATTCTAGTGCCTTCCCTCTGTTGATTACCTCCAATTTATCCCATATATAGCACATCTGTACATAGTTGTTTGCATACTGTCTCCCCCATTAGACTGTCAGCTCCTTGGGAACAGGGATATAATCATTTGCTTTTCTTTGTATTCTCGATGCTTAGCACAGTGCCTGGCACACAGTAACTTAATAAATGTTTACTGACTGACCTCCTCCCACCCAGTTCCAAAGGCTCTTTTGAAATATGTTGCTTTTCCTCTTGATACTATTTTGGTTTGTAAATATCCAACTTTTATATGTAATGGAAAACTGAATTTGTAATTGTGCTTTTAAAATTCATACAGATTATGATCCAATATCTTTGGTCATTTCTTGTGTATCATAAAAAGTTCTGGTGGTTTGTATTAATGTCATTTTGGTGCTTGGATTTTTCGGGCATTGTCATTCTACATGTGAAGGTGTTGAGATGAATTTTGAGTTTCTCCTTAGAGTTCTGTGAATTTTATTTGGAGAGCATCACTTTTTTTTGTTGTTATTAAGAAAAAATTCTGGGAAATTCCTGATGACAGCTTCCTGTAATATAGTTATCATATACCTTCCTTGTTCAGTATTTTCTGGAAAGTCAATAATCTTGAAATTTCTTCTCTTTGATCTATCCTGAAATCTATCCCTTGTACCTGTATTGCTTCCAAATTGATTTTGGTGGAATTATTTTAAGTGTTTCTTTTTATACTTCAGTGTGCTGTCATTTTGTATTTTGCTATAGTAATTATTTTAGTTGCTGCCACTGATTTTTGACAACTATCTTTTCCCACACTTGTAAAAGAATAGTTCTCTTAATTCCTCTCATGAGTCTTTGCATGCTAATTTTGGTTCTTCTGTCTTCATTACCCAACATCTGTGTGATATTAGTCATATTGCTTGAGTCTTTTTGTTTTGTTTCTAATGTTATTTCTGATAGTTACATGGAAGTTTATTTTTTCTGGTGCTTCCCTCCCTTACTTCTCTTACTCTGTTATGTTTACTCTATATTGTATTTGAGCTATTCTTTGGTTTTCTCACTATATTTCTGTTGCGTTTTAATTTTATTGTGAGAATTTCTACAAACGGTTTCTCTTTTACATTTCTACTATTATTTTTGAGGGGCATCGATACCAAGCGAGGAACCCCTATGAACTCTCATTCCACAATTTCCCCACAATTCCCCATCCTATTCATTTTGTCTTTGCAATATCTCTTGCATCTGCCCCCTCTTCTCTATATCCCCTCACTGCCACCTGCCTGGGCTATTTTAATTGCCTTCTAACAGGTTTGGAAAAATAATTCAGAGTTCAAAACTCAACAAATCAGAGTTCAGTGGCCTTTAAGTATTATTTTTGTTTACATTATTGATTCATTGTATATTTTGTTCTTCTGATTTGGCTTGCTTTGCTCTATATCAATTATGTACTTATCCCCAAGTTTCTATTAACTGCATATTTTTGTTTACGATACTATGAATAATATTTCATTACAGTCATATCGTAATTTTTTTACCTGTTTCTTAACGGATGGGCACTCATTTTCTAATTTTTTTTATACCACAGAAGGTGTCATTATAACTAATTTTGGTATATATGGGACCTTTCTTGATGTCTTTGGGTTTTTTAAATAATATTTTATTTTTGTGCCAATTATATGTAAAAACAATTTTTAACATTCATTTTTTTCAAAAAAATTTGAGTTCCAAATTCTCTCCCTTCTCCCTGAGACAGTAAAGCAACTTTCTCGATGTCTCTGACCCCCACAGAATGGAAAAGCTCTACAAACAGTACACGAGCCTCTTTTTCCACAGTCCCTCCAGCATGTTTCATTGTCCTGTTTCTGGGCAACTTTGCCCACCTGGTGGGTACAAAGTGGAACCTCAGAAACACTTTCATCTTCATTTCTCTTTTTACTAGTGATTTGGAGCAAGTTCACATTGTTGCTGACAGGTTGATTTTCTTCTTTTGAAGACCATTCACATCTTTGGACAACTTTTCTGTTAAGTAATGTACATTAACTTTATATTTGTGCCAGTCCTTATGTACTTCTGCTATCAGACTTTTAGGAAGGAGCACGGCATAATACAGAAAGGGCAAAACCAGAAGCCAGAAAACTAGGGTTCAAGATCCGCCCCTGATGTACAGCAATCGTATGACTCTAGGCAAGTCATTTAATCTTTTAGTGCTCTAGGCTAGAAGCAGGCAGCAATGTAATTGGGAAATATTTAACAAAATAAATAAAAATACCATAGAACATATATAATGTTAATAAGTGGTTTTCTAAATCAATATGCAGCTTGCAAAAATGCTTGCACAGGGCTTAATGGGTCCCATTTCTATTTGAGTTTGACATAACTCTAGGTAACTCTTTAAGACTAAGCTGCAGAGAAGTTGCCAGCCTGCAATGGTAATTGGAGATTCCTCACCTGGAAGTGTCCTAACTTAATGAAATCACAGATCCAGGCCTTATTCCTTATTTCTATCCGACATTTATCAGCGATGTTTTGAGGCAATGACTTTTTAACCCATTTTAACAGCTTCCGTTCTTATTTTCAGTTTTATTTATTTTGTTTATGGAAAAGCTTTTTAATTTCATTAACCAAAATTGCCTAATTTATCTTTTATGACTACTTCCATCCCTTGTTTATTAAAAAATCCTCCTTAGCTATCTTGTAAAAGATTCCTCCTTCTACTCTCCTTTGATTTTTTTCTAAAATGAGATGATCTTTTATATTTAGATCACATATCCATTTGAAGCTTATTGTGGTGCATGGTATAAGACAGAGAGGGTGGGGAAAGAGGAAAGAAAGGGGAAAGGGAAGACGGGAGGTCTTTTGTAGCTGTAAATATGTAAGTCTTCAGCAGTGTTGGCAGGTACCTACCAGACAAATTTTATGCTTCTTTTGAAAGGAATTTTTCTTTTTTTCCCCCAGGGATGTCAGCAATATACAGAAAGGCTCAATATTTTTGGAGAATTATTTTGTAAACTACTACTTACTTATGCAGGGGTCTGGTCATGTCATTTTTCTTCAAAAAATATCCGGCTGCTTCCTACTATCTACCCAGGTAGTAACTGTTAGAACTAGCATATGAACCCAAGTCTACGAATTCCTAAACCCCTCCCCCCATAACACAAAACTTCTATAGCTAGTTTACAATTTTCTTATTCTATTTCATGCCCATCATCACTATCATTATCAAATGCTGCTATTCTTGTCAACACTTGATAATTCCTCACTTTAAGTACTTTCCTTTTAAAACAACAACAAAACCTATCTAGTAGCATTTTTATTATTACTTAAACAACTTATTAAATTCAGTGATGTTAAAAATTTCTGGATCTAATGCTCTTGGGTACAGCCTTAATTTCTCAGAAAAAAAAGTTGTAGCACAATTATCCATTCTACAAGACACTTTTACTTTACAGATGAAATGCACAGTCACAATTTAAAGCAAACCATATTCTACGATTTCTACCTTACCTTAAGCTCACAGTCTTCATTCACAGCTAAGTTACTAGGTTTCAGGTCCTAGGAATAAGCAATAAATAGGTTAACTTTATTTTTCACTGTAAGTACCTTGTCTGAAACTATAGGCGGAATATAGACACTGTTAATCTTTCACTTCTGCTGTAACTTGTTAGAGCGAGACTTTCCAGCCATATGAGATGAACTTCATCTTACAGCCAGCTGCTAGTTCAATTTTTACTAAGTATATACATAAACTATACAATCACTTTCTCATTAGTTCAGGCCTAGAGAAATGTTAGAGATGCAATTATCAATAGCAATTCAAGGTCTCCTGGGAAATGGCACTTCGTTCTGATAAAGAACCTGGCTAAAATCCAAACACCCTTCTACTTCCATTATATTTAATCAAAGAAAATAAGTCAGTTAAAATACTTACTCTGTGTATAATGTCAGCTGAATGAATATACTATAGGGGAAAAGAAAAACATGTCAATCAACTAATAAAAATACTTCCTCCAACACATTCTTTAATATCAGTACATAATACAACATACAGAGTCTATAATTCAGAGTTTATTTGCATCACATCTTCATGAAAGCAGAATTGCAATTACTGACACTGGGCCTAAAAACTATAAGAGAAAATGGTCAATTATTTCCTATTACAATGTATTGAATATCTCTGAATTCTATTATGGCCACCTGATTTACACATTTTCATGATATATACCTTAAAAATTGCAAACAGATTTTAGCCTGGAACTCAACAGGACATCAAAATGTTCCAAGTGCTAAAACTCAAAGGGAGCAGCCTCCTGGAGTGCTGTATCTACCCTGTTCTCTACAGGCTTACCACAGTGATCATCTAAATGCACCTCTAAGATCATTTCAATACCACCTTAAAGATCACTAGTGCCAAAATGCTACCTTTAGGCCCCGGAGAATCTGGTAGATAAGGAACTGTACATGGTCATCGGTGAGCTTTTGACATTTCACAATATTATTCAGATCCGCCCCCATGAGATGTGTCACCAGATACCTAGAAATTACAAGGGAGAGTTACACAATATTCCAGAATCCCAAAGAAGGCTCTTATCACAAGAGTCCTGAATGGTTTTTTTTACTGCAACATTATGCTCAGTAAGATACAGAATACAAGCTAACCTGACGATTATGACCAAGCTACCATTAATAACTATGTATAATCACCACCACTCTATGCTTACCACTCGTGATGGAGTCACTTTTATACATGGCTCCATGTAATACTCATTTCCCTAGTTTCCTTCTTGCCTAACCACTCACCAAAAAACAAACAAAAAAAAAACACACCAAAGAAACAAAAACAAACCAAAAAAAAAGCAAAATGGGGAGAAATAGAAGTTTTGTGTTGGTGTAAATTTGTCAGCAGAGCATAAGATTTAATTTCTTATACATGGGTATAATAATGAAATAGAAAGTATTTTGTATTTTTAAAGCTATTGCTTCATTTTTACCTCACATCACTTAAAAGTTCCCAAGCTGCACGATGTAAAATAAAGAATATCCTTTTAAAAAAAATATTTTATTATTCCCCAATTACATGTAAAAAAATTTGAACTTTTTTCTCCCCAGATTTTGAGTTCCAAATTCTCTCCCTCTCTCCCCTCACTGAGAAGGCAAGCAATTTGATATAGGTTATACATGTGAAGAAAATATCTTAAAACAACTAAATTGTTTAAAATTCTTCCCATTTAAAAATAATGAGCAAAGTAGAACTGTGTAATATGGCATTCCTGCATTTATTTACCAGAAGAGTACAGATATAAAGATGAGAAATATGTTTACTATCTAAAGAGGAACAGATCCACAGAGCTACTAAACACTTATTACAGAGTTCTCTGAATTGGTGTGGTCCTGGTTATTAATCCTGACTTTACAATAAGACTATGGAGAGATTATATTCAAGTCCAACAAGTTTGCCTCACTCAAGACATAATGTCTTGCCCCACTCAATAGTATACTATTATAGAGAAAATACAAAATCTAGAACAGTACTAAAAATGCTGAATGAAAAGAAATGTTTTTATATGTTCAGCTATATAGAGGCATTCAATTCACTCACACAGATCAAATAACAATTTTTACAGTAACGTGTAAATACAGGGTTCCTATTATCACCTGAAGCAATTTTGAACTTCTAGAGTACCATAAAGCTAAAGCGGCAAAAAACAGAAACACCAGAGTTTCTCACTTTATTTTTATTCATCCATCCCCCAAAATTAATTTATTTATTTAGAAAACTTTTTTTGTTTTGAGCTAGAAATTTTCTCCCTCTCTCTCACCCCTCCCTCCCTCATTAAGGCAAGTGATTCACCTTATTTTACAAGTCTACCTGTTTCTATTACCTTGAAAGATGATTTTAATTAAAAATTAACACTGTATTTGTTTTTTAAAATATCATGTAAGAAGTCTTAAGATATTGCAGAACTGAAGAGATCAAAAGAATAACATAATTATAAATTCTAGTTTTGTGACAGGATAGGGACTGGACCTAAGATTTCACTGGAATAATGAACCTTCTTTTACTATTGTAGGCTGGCACCTTTTCTACATCTTATTGCCTTAAGAAGTAGCCCAGAGCATTATCAAGTTAAGAGACACCTGGGTCAGTCAGAGGTAGGGCTGGATCCCAGGCCTGGGTTAACACCGTCTTCATCGTATTTAGCAATAACAGCTAAAGAGTTCACTACAACAAACATAAAACATGGGTGTCTGCGTAAGAAACAAAGGCCACACTGATGTGCGATGCAAACATAAATGCTTCACCCAGTCATGGAGTGGCGCCTCTCATACTAGTCCCCCAGCATGCAATATTTAAAACTGGAAGGTCATATAATCCAGTGGTATCAAACTCAAAATAGAAATGGATCCCTGTAGGCTGCATATCGACTTAGAAAAACACAAATTAACATTATCTATGTTGTACTACAGTTCTTTTTATTTTGTTAAGCATTTTCCAATTACATTTTAATCTGGGTTACTCAAGAAGGTCCTGGCCAAGTTTGACATCCCTGATGTAATCCAACTCCCTCATTTTATAGACAAAGAAAGGGGAGACTTAGAGAACTTGAGCGATTTGCCCAAAGTGCTAAGTGGCAGATTGGGATCTGAACCCAGATTTTTGACTCCACATCTGGCATTTTTTTTTTTAGGCAATTGGGGTTAAGTGACTTGCCCAGGGTCACACAGCTAGTAAGTGTCAAGTGTTTGGTCTGAGGCCACATTTGAACTCAGGTCCTCTTGACTTCAGGGCCGGTGCTGTATCCATGGCAGCACCCTGCCCCTGGCATTTTTTCTAATAAACCACACTACCTAGTCAATTTACAAAGTACGCTAATCCCATCAGATGATTTACCCATGTTCTAAACCTGTAAGAGTCAGAGACAGGATTCAAATACAAGATTTCTGACTCCAGCTCTTTCTACTATTTAACTCTACCTCTCCAAGAGGAAAGCAGCCTATTCCTCAGTAGTTGCTCTGTTCATCAGTTACTTGGGTTGCCTGCTATGAGGAGACCTTTTTGTTTTCCTCTGCATACAGACTCTGTGCACTTAGAGTTATTTCACTCAAGGTTGTATTGAGTCATCTGAACTTTTTCAGTTGCACTACAAACACATGACTAATTATCATGTGAGATTCAATGTTTATACGGGCAGAAATGCTGAAGCATGAAGAAGTCACTGGACCTCACTAAATTAGGAAGCAGAGTAGCAGTGGCATGATTCTATGTACCAAAGATCATCTAGTAACCCACAAATGTTCTGCATGCTGAACACAAGAAAGAATCACCTCACTGACTTCATTATCCAGACAGGAGGCATATTCAGATGATCAGAGGGAATGAGAGCTTCAATGATGGTCAATATGCTCAAATTTTAATAGAATCTATCACACAAAGTGACATTTAATGCATTCACATGGCAGCACTGAACTTGATGGAATGAAGATACTTCATGCAACATATTCCCACCTTCTTAGCTCTTTCATATCAAGAAACAGTGACTGCATATATGAAATGCTAAAAGGAAACACTACCATTTCAAATTTGTCCCCATTATCATTAATACAGATGCCAGAAAAAGCTAATGAAGTACACTATTTCTATTCATCGTAGTGAGAGTCCTAAACTGGCCACTGAAAATCTGTCAGCATGCAAGTCAGGAACGTCTTCAGGTTGCAATGGACATAACATTACAATGAATGTTTTCTAGATAGCCTAGACAATGTGAAACCACTGGAGTTTCTGAGCAAGGAAGTGACTTATTCAGATCTGAGCTTTAAGAAGATTCTTTTGGCAACTGTATGAAGGATAGACTGGAAAAGAAGAAGGGGAAGGACCTAAATTAGGCCATATGAGTACAAAGAAGGATGATTTGGAGATCATGAATCTGGGTGACTGGTAGCTGTAGCCTTTAACAAGGAACATGAAATTCAGAGGAAAGGTAGGTTTAGGGGAAAAGATGATGAGTTAATTTCATATTGGAAATATTGAATTTAAGATACTGATAAGATGCAAATGGCTAGCAGGCAGTGCTAACATGGCAATGGAATTGAAGGGAGAAAGATTACTACTGGATCTAAAGATCTGGAATAGAGAAAATTGAACCCAGGAGAGCTGATGACATCACCAACACATACAGCTCTGAGAAAGAAGAATGCCCAGGACAGGGCCTTTGGAGATATTCATGAAGATGTTAGAAGTACGAAAATCCAGCAAAGAAGAATGAAAGCAAATAGTTAGGTAGCATGAAAACCAAGAAAGAGTAATGCACTTTAAAAGTCAAAGAAAGGCAGAGTACTGAGAAAAGAGAGAGGGTGGTTAACAGCGTTGAAAACTGAAGAGCTCAAGGAAGAGGAGAGGTTGAAGAAAAGCCATTGGATTTAGCAGCAAAGATAAAGTTTTTGTGGTTTTTTTTACTTTAAGTTTTGTTACTCTCTTCTTTGATTTTCAGAATTTCTAATTTGGTGTTTTATTGGGATTTTTTGGTTTACTGCTTTCCTAGTGTTTTTTGATTGCATGCTCAATTTCATTGATCTGTTATTTCTTTTTATTGCTAAAGAACATTTACCTAAGAATCGCTTTAGCTGTATCCAAAAAGTTTTGGTATGTTGTCTTATCACTGTCCTTTTCCTTGATGAAATTCTCTATGATTTGTTCTTTGATCCATCAATTCTTTAGGATTAAATTATTTTTTCTCAGACTAGTTTTTTATTCTTCAAAGGCTCTTCAATGAATATAATTTTATTCCATTGTAGTCAGTAAAAGATGCACTTAATATTTTTATTTTTCTGTATTGAGTATGAGACTTTTGTGCCCTAATACATGGTCAATTTTTGTAATAGTGTCATATCTATCTATCTATCTATCTATCTATCTATCTATCTATCTATTATCTATCTATCTATCTATATGTGCTCCTTTTTTGTTCTCATTCTGTAACTGCCAGTTTCAACACAACTGTTCTAAAAATCTCTTCCGGTCCTCAACTTCTTTCCTACTTTTTCTTTATTTTAGAGAGTCCAGATCTCGAAGACAAAGTTGAATTTCTCCACTACTATGGTTTTACTGTCAACTTCTCTCTATATTTAATTAGTATTTTCTTTTAATTATTTAGATACAAAGGCATTATATATATGTTAATTATTGATTGAATCTTTTCTATAGTGCCTTTAAGCATAATGTAATTTACCAACTTATCTCTTATAATCAAGTCTATTTTTACTCTCACCTTACATGAGTTCATGATTATTTTTGCTTTTTTTTAACAGCCCAATTTTACATTCATATTCTTCACTGAAAGATTCTCTGTTGCCCAACGAAAAATCAATAAATCACAGCAAACTAATAACGGTTGCACCCCAAAGTCTCAAATGTTTCAAAATGTTGAAAACCATCAGAGCAATGGAGAGTAAGACATATCTGACAATTTTCTAGGTAAATATTCAGCACATGGGAGAACATACTAGTAAAGGAATAAGTGATACTTTTTGCACATAACATTTTCTCCTATTATTTGCTATAAATAACTTTTATACTTTTAATTTTTACTAAATGCATGTCACATGTCTATATACATATATTCGCCCATCTGTCAAATATCAGTAATGTAAGCTACTGTCAAAAACAAGTTTTTTAAAATTGATTTTGAAAAAGATTATATACACTTGGAAGAAAAATGCTAGTAGATATTCAATCAAGACTCACATGGCTCAAAGGAGCCATACTTACTTTTTGCTATCTATGCTCTACACTGAGACTTTCCCCCAACCCAACCATCATCTGGGAGAGTCAAGAACTCTTCTTATACTGCTCGTCCTAAAGGTCAAGCCTCACCAACAGGTGGCCCTTTCCCATAGTTGTTATGAGCGTCCTCACAAGTGAAGCATGTTAGATTCATTAATCTTCCAGAAATAGAAAATGAGGAGCTAGAATTGGGTGATGAACTAAAAGTGATCACTGGAACATTAGCATAACAAACATACATCAAACATGATTGAGATTCAACAGTCAAGCTTATAAGCAATTAAGATTCTTTTACTATTAGCACACAAGATTAATATTCAGAAATAAAGTACAACTGAAAAATCTCTGGTTTCCTAAATGAATTCTAAATGGCTCTGGAGAACTATGATTGCTCTTGGTTGAGGATGAGTTAGTTTTTCCAATACTGTCATTACCAAAAAAGATGCAGACGTGCTCAGTCACATTACCCTAAACTCCAGAAGGTCTTTTTCAGAGCTAAAACTATACAAGTCTATTATATGATGACTCATAAAAATTTCATAGGATATTAAATCTAGCAGACCAAACCTCTAATTTCTAAGAAAAGGAATCTGAGGTTAAGAAGGATCAGGGTGTCCCCTGATAATCCCTAAGGACCTTTCCTGAATCTGGAAGGTGTCCAATACTCTACTGGGGAAGAGTGGAGGACAACTACAAGCAGCTCCACTACTAATGAAGAGGCTGGGCCAAAGCTGAAAGAATGCTCAGCTGTGGACGTGTCCAGTGACGAAAACAAAGCCCAGGATTATAAAGATCATAATGCATAGGAACCTGGAATGTAAGATCTATAAACCAAGCTGAGCTGGATGTGGTCAAATGGAAAGATTTGGATGGAAAGAGGAAAGATCAAATGGAAAGAGATGGAAAGATTAAACATCAACATCTTGGGTGTCAGTGAACTTACATGGACAGGAATGGGTGAATTTAATTCAGGTGATCATTACATATATATATATATATATATATATTATATATATATATATATATATATATACATATACACTACTGTGGGCAAGAATCCCTTAGAAGAAATGGAATTAGTTTTCATAGCCAAAAAAAGGGGTGAGAAAAGCAGTACTGGGGATATAATCTCAAAAATGATAGAATGATATCTCTTCAAATCCAAGGCAAACAGTTCAATATCACAGTAATACAATTCTGTGCTCCAATTGCTGATGCTGAAGAGGCCAAAGTTGATCAGTTCTATGAAGACCTACAACATGTAGAAATAACACCAAAAAAAGATGTCACATTCACCACAGGGGACTGGAATGCTAAAGTAGAAAATCAAAGGATAATCGGAATAACAGGCAAGTTTGGCCTTGGAGTACAAAACGAAGCAGGGCAGAGACTAATAGAGTTTTGTCAAGATAACTCGCTGGTCACAGCAAACATTCTTTTTCAACAACCCAAAAAGCAACTGTACACATGGACATCACCAGATGGTCAATACAGAAATCAAGACTGAATACATGCTTTGCAGCCAAAGGTGGAGAAGCTTTGTAAAGTCAATTAAAACAAGCCCTGGGGCTGACTGTGGCTCAGATCATGAGCTTCTTATTGCAAAATTCAGACTTAAATTGAAGAAAGTAGAGAAAACCATCAGACCATATAGGTATGACCTAAATAATATCCTTTATGAATATGAAGTGGAAGTGATGAATAGACTTAAGGGATTAGATGTGGTATAATGTCTGAAGAACTATGGACAGAGGTTTTCAATACTGTACAAGAGACAGCAACAAAAAACATTCCAAGGAAAAAGAAGAAAGCAAAATGGCTTTCTGATGAAGCTTTACAAATAGCTGAGGAAAGAAGAAAAGTGAAAGGGAAAGGAGAAAGGGAAAGATATACCCAACTGAATGCAGAATTCCAGAGCACAGCAAAGAGAGACAAGGTTTTCTTCAATAAGCAATACAAAGAAATAGAAAAAAGCAACAGAGTGGGAAAGACAAGAGATCTCTTCAAGAAAATCAGAGCTATCAGGGCAGCTAGGTGGTGCAGTAGATAGAGCACCAGCCCTGGAGTCAGGAGGACCTGAGGTCAAATTCAGGCTCAGACATATAACACTCACTAGCTGTATAACTCTGGGCAAGTCACTTAACCCCAACTGCCTTACCAAAAAAAAAAAAATCAGAGCTATAAAAGGGAACATTTCATGCAAAAATGGGCATAATAAAAGACAGAAATGGTAGGGACTTAACAGAAGCGGAAGAGATTAAGAAGTGGTGAGAATACACAAAAGAACGGTACAAGAAAGATCTTAACATCACCAATAACCACAATGGTATAGTTATTGATCTAGATACTGATCTTCATTCCCCAGACATCCTGGGGAATGAAGTCAAGTGGGTCTTAGGAAGCACTAGAATCCCAGCAGAGCTATTTAAAATCCTAAAAGATGATGCTGTTACAGTGCTGCACTTGATGTGCCAGCAAATTTGGAAAACTCAACTGTTTATGTCCCAATCCTAAAGATGGACGATGCCAAGGAATGTTCAAATTACCAAACAATTGTACTCATTTCACATACCAGCAAGGCTACGCTTAAGAGTCTGCAAGCTAGGCTTCAGCAACATGAGAACTGAGAATTACCAGAAGTGTAGGCTGCTTTTCAAAAAGGCAGAGGAACTAGAAAGCAAATTGCCAACATTTGCTGGATTATGGAGAAAGCAAGGGAGTTCCAGAAAAACATCTACTACTTCTGCTCATATTGAGTACATTAAAGCCTTTGACTGTGGATCACAACAAAATGTGGCAAGTTCTCCAAGAGATGGGAGTATCAGATCATCTTACCTATCTCTTGAGGAACCTGTATGTGGGCCAAGAAGCAGCAGCTGGAACCAACCATGGAACAATTGATTGGTTTAAGACTGGAAAAGCAACAAGGCTATATATTGTCACTTTATTTATTTAACTTATATGCAGAGTATATCAGGCAAAATGCCAGGGTGGAGCCAAAAGCTGGAATTAAGGTTGCTGGGAGAAATAGCAACAATCTCAGATATATAGGTGATACCATTCTGCGGGCAGAAAGTGAAAAAGAGAAGCCTCTTGATGAGGGTGAAAGAGGGGAGTATAAAAGCTGGTTTGAAGATTAACATCAAAAAAGATCTGGATCTTGGCAACTGGTCCCATCATTTCCTGGCAAATAGGGGGAAAAAGAAATGGAAGCAGTGTCAGATTTTATATGCCTGAGCTCAAAGATGACTGCAGACAGCAACAGCAGCCATGAAATTAAAAGACTCTTGCTCTCTGGAAGGAAAGCTATGGCAAATCTGGACAACATACAAAAAAGAGAAACATCACTTTGCCAACAAAGGTCCATGTAGTCAAATCTATTTTCTTTTTCCAATATTAATACATGGCTGTGAGAGTTGGACTACAAGGAAAGCTGAGTGCTGCAGAATCGATGCTTTTGAATTGTGGTGCTGGAGAAGACCTTTGAGAGTCCCTTGGACTGCAAGGAGGTCAAATCAGTTAATACTGAAAGAAACTAATTCAGGCTATTCTTTGGAAGGTTAAATACTGAAGCTGAAGCTTAAATACTTTGGCCACATAAAGAGAAAATGGTACTCAGGGGAAAAGACTCTGATGTTGGGAAAAACTGAAGTCAAAAGGAAAAGAGAATGGCAGAGATTGAGATGGAGAGATAGTGTCGTGGAAACAACAAACCTGAACTTGGACAGCCTTCAAGAGTGGAGGACAGAAGGCCCTGGTGTGCTGTGGTCCCTGTGGTCAGGGAGAGTAAGACACCACACTGAACAACAACAACGTATCTGATTCAGCTTTCCCAATCTGATTCCTAGTGCACATTACTGGACTGTTTTCTTTTAGATTTTAAACAGCTATCTAAGGTAGCCAGACTACTCTATTCTTTTTTTTTTTAAAGGACATCCTTGAGGAGCGGTTGGTCACCTATTATAGCTATAACGCAGAATAGCATGTAAAGTCAATTCAGGAACTTCATGGAACAATATACCTTCAGGGGTCAAGTATGGTTGCGAGAGGGACAAGTTGTACTTAGTTCCTGCCAATACTAATGAAGCCTATTTTAATCTCCCTTTCTAGACTCTATCCCTCCAAAAGGAGGAGCCAGGATTCTTTCTAACTAGGGAAAGTAGTGCTAAACCTGTGGAACTGAGCCATGGCCAGGACTCCATGGCTCCTTCAAAATTTATAGCAAAGAGAGGCAGGAATGGATGTGGATCAGAGCTCAGTGGATTTTATGAAGAAGCAGTTTTCAGTGAAAGAAGGTTATTTGATAAAACAAGAGACTGTCATGAGGACTGATCAGCAAAGGCACCCTTTCTTCTCAACTCTTCTTTCACTTAAAACTTTTGAATAGCTTCATTTTATTTTTTAAAAACACCCTGAATCCTATAGTTGGAGGTTATAAGGGAAGCACTGGTAGTATCTGTCAGTATTTTCTTTTCTCAAAGACTTGGGTGTAACCTGAAAAGTTTTTTGAAGTCTTAAATGCTGCTACATGGGAAGGGACTCACTGGAAAAGAGATGCTGACCTGTCTATAGCTAGCAAAAGTTAACAAACTCAAAGCATTTACTCACACATCATTGAATTCCTCCAGAGACTTTGCTGGCGTAAAAACATCTAACAGGCCAATCACCTATAAGGAAAAAAGAAAAAGTCATTAAAGTCTCCAAAATTGAACCTCTTCAACACAAGTTTTTTTTTCTTCTTGTTGTTGCTTTGGGGGTGGGGTTTCCAAACTGGTCATGCCTCAATTCCACATGTGATGTCATTGGTATAGGGAAATTCCCAAGGTAGAAACTTCCTCCACCAAGGCAGTTCATCGAATCTTCTGTCTTAGAAAAATTCCTGGGGCACTGAAAGATTGAGTGAGTCGTCCATAGTCACATAGACATTATGTGTCAAAGGCAGGACTAGAACCTGGGCTCACAGGATCAGAGATTTAGAGTTGAAAGTGACATTAATAGTCGCCTAAGCCAATTTTACAAATGAGAAACTGAAGCCTAGAGAAATGAGTGATTTGTCCATGGCCACTTTCAGGTAGTAAGCAGAACTGCTACTTATTCCCAATTCTGATCCAAATTCTGCTCCTATAACTTTCAAATCTGACATTCTTTCCACTGCAAGGCCTGCTCTGGATGCACTACATCATTTTGCCTCTTAACATTACTGGTTTTTGTTTGTTTGTTTGTTTTGTTTTGGTGAGGCAATCGGGGCTAAGTGACTTGCCTAGGGTCACAAAGCTAGTAGGTATCAAGTGTCTGAGGCCACATTTGGAGTCAAGTCCTCCTGACTCCAGGGCCAATGCTCTATCCACTGCACCACCCAGCTGCCCCAACATTACTGTTATTTAGAAATAACTCATTTCAATTACAACTTTCAAATTTCGCAACATAACATGTTTTACCCAAATTCTTTAATTCAGTTCAACAAACATTAAGTGCTTACCATGTACAAGGCAGTTGCCAAGATGTTACAGATATAAAGGCAAAAGCAAAACAATTCCTGACTCAAGAATCTCAGCTCTTCTGGCTACTTAACTCCTTTGCTGATACTATTTTTATCTGTTTGATCTTCAATACAGACAGCCTGGAAGTCATCCAAGGCTGGGGGCGGGGGGAGAGGGGAGCTTTACTTGGGGGACTTTTAAGTTTCACTTTGCTTTGTTTGTTTTTGTCTTGGAATTTTCCAGCACCTACTATACTGCCCTTGTAGGTGGCAAAACACTTTTGCTATGCATCTGTCACCCCTCACTTTGTGCCCTTCCCACTTTCTCATCCTACCTCTTTTATGACATCTTTTAATTCTGTTCTTTCCAAGTTCAAAGAGGGATTCTAACCCTGGACCAGAAAGAGTTTTCAAAAGTTAATGCTAAACCTCAGTGACTTAGCTTGTTGGAAGGACCCTACTCTTCCACCCCTCATCTGGGAAGTGACTCAGAGGCCCCAAAGGAGAAGGGGGCTTCTGCAAGTCCGTGGGGACAATGGTCCATGCTTTTTCTGACAGTGTAATAATACTTAAGATGAGGACTGCTGCTGAGCCTTAAGTTGGAGGTGGTAGGGGAGATGACAGCTGCCCAGTAATGGGGAGCTCAGCAATGTATCTTACTACAAGTATACTCCACCTATGTGTCCACTGACACTGCGTATTTGTGAAAGACTATATGCCCCAGATTTATTCGAGGGTGTCTTGTGGCTTCTATTCTCATTATGGCATCCCAGCAAAGGCCTTTGCTTTTCAATAATTCTGCTTACTGGCTATTAAAGGTAAACATGTTGGAAGGCAAGTAATCAACTGATCAGAAAACAAGCAATCATATAAAATGCACATACTGTCTCTATTAGAACATAGTTCCTTGAGGGCAGGGACTGCTCACTTTATCTTTGTAGCCTCTAACTTAATACATAGTAATAAATGCTTATTGACTGACCATTAGAAAGGAGGGCTCAATCTTGGGGTATGCAGGGGAATGAATGGAATAGAATGTAAAGGTGAAAAAAAAAATTTGTGTACATCCCAAACACACACCGCACACACCCATTATTCTAGACTATCCATCCCTGTCTTTCTTTTTCCTTAATGTGGATTATCAAATGTTAACTGATTGAAATCACTAGGGCACAGGGTGTGAGCAGAACCAAATTACTTAGCTGTTACTCCATCCCAGCCCCAAACTACATCTAATCTTATCTATACTATTTTACAGGCAGCTAAACATAGTCACAATGGATAGAGAGCTGGACTTAGAATCAGGAAGACTAATCTTCCTGAGTCCAAATCTGGTCTCAGACATGTACAAGTGACCCATGTGACCCTAGGCTTAAGTCACTTAACCTTCTTGGCCTCAGTTTCCTTATCTGTAAGATGAGCTGGAGAAAGAAATGGCCAACCACTCCAGTATCTTTGCCAAGAAAACTCCAAATGGAGTCCCAAAGAGTTGGACATGATTGAAATCAACTGAACCACAACAAAATACTACCCTTGATCCAAATCCATAGTTCAACATTCCCTCTTGCACCTTCTCACTCAGGATGGATAGGAAATGTGTTTTAAAGTAAAATAAATCTGATTTAAAGATTTTTAAATGTCCTGTCCATTTCTTTTGTAGCAATTATGCAGAGGGCAGGTAGGTGGTGCAGTAGATACAGCACCGGCCCTGGAGTCAGGAGGACCTGAGTTCAAATCCAGTCTTGGACACATACACTCACTAGCTGTGTGACCCTGGTCAAGTCACTTAACTCCAATTGCCCTCATCCAAAAAAAAAAAGCAACTAAACCACCTGTTTGTCAATAATTCTGAGCTGTTTTGCTGGCATATGGATGGATCCATACACTCTCACCTGATCTCCCTTTTGATCTTTGACATCAGCTAGCATGGCACTAGCACATCATCTGGGCATATATTAAGCACTCAATAAATACTAACTGATAATAAAGCCAGCTAGATTTAGGGGGTGTTAAGAAAAGTTAATTGGTCCTCTAAAGAATAAAACTTATGATTCTGACAATCCAAAGAGAAAAAGGGTTTTAAGATATGCTAAAGATAAAAAAGTATTATTTTATTATATAGATTATAACTTCTAGTTGTAGAAATATAACCCTCTAGTACAAAAAAAACTTAAAAGTTACAGAACTTTAGAGTCTGAAGGGTCTTCAGAGATCTAGTACAACCCCTTTATTTTAAATAATGTTGATTTTTTAAAAAATTAACAGGCATTTATTTTCTCTCCCTTTTATCTTCTTCGCCCCCCCAAAAAAGACAAGAAAGAAGAAAATCCTTGTAACTAAACATACATAATCAAGTGAAACAAATTCCAACATTGGCTATGTCCAAAAATACAGGGTCAAAGGAGTAAAAAGTAACTTATCACAGCTTTTTAGTAGCAGTCTGGACTAGAACTTAAAATTCCCCATTGACACCCTTTCTACTTCACACTACCTTTACATTACATATGTGGGTCTGAACTATAATTAGTATTACAGAATTTAGAAATCTCAGAGTTGTGGAAGCAGTTCTATAAAATCAAGTCAGGGGTAAAGAAAATAAAGGGCCGTCGTCTAACCGCCCCACCTGCACAACCCAATGGGCTGGCAAGAGGCTGGTGCTCTTTATTCAGCACGACAAGGGGAAGCTATCTCTATGGTTACTTCTCTGGAAAGGCTAAGAGATGGGAATGAAAAACAAGGGTTTCCAGGCAGGTTGTGCTGGTGCTGATGCTGTTCATCATAACACAGTTTGAGACAACTGCACAAATGAATGAAAGAAAATGGCTCCAGAAATGAGGATCCACAGCACCGCGAGGCAAATGCTTGTTATTGGTGTTTAAAATCCTGAATACCCAGGAGGGAAGAAGCCGGGCAAAGGTGAATATTACTGCGACTGTCTCCAATGCAAAAGCATTCACATGGACAGTATGAATCAGTGACAATTTGTACATGTGATCTACCCTAAAACTAGAACAAATAAAGAATAACTCCATCCACCTCAACCACAAGACACATAACGAGCCTCAAGTTGAAATTAAATTAAAAAGGTCACAAAACAGAGCACGATGCTCTTTAATTCACAGCAGAGATACAGAATCACCATGCTGACCCAAAGCTTGTGTGCAAAATGAGGCCCAAGATTAAGGAGAACACACTAACAGCAACAAGTCACCATAAAAAATATGTAAGATGGAAAAAAAATTGGTATTAAAGTTATGCTTTAATATTGAGATTCATTACATAGAAAAATCTACGCTCAATCTTAAAGACTTCATTGGGCATATATAAATGACTATAAAATGCCACAATGATACAAAGGAAGAAAACATTGAAAGATTTTTGATTCTCTGATCAAGGCAGTGACTGATCATGACTTCACAGTGAAGCATATCTTCTGCTTTTAGGCAGAGAGGTAATGGACAATGAATAAGAACGAAGCATGGTCACTATTTTAACTTGTTTGCTTATCTGAATTTATTTGTCACAAAAGGGAAAAGGAGATCATAAATAGGAAAAGGTAATAAAAAAATGAAGCACCAATAAAATATTTAAAAAGATTTTTCTATTAAGAAATAATGCTTAATTTTAGTTCCAAATTGTGAGTGTCTCCCCAGGTGTAATATGTCACCATTAGCCACTGGGCATTAGACACTAGATTATAAGTTCACAGGTTAACATCATCTGTTGATCAGATATTTACAGTTTCTAACGATTAGATTTAGAGGCAGCTAGGTGGTACTCTGGATAGCGTGCTGGGCCTGGAGTCAGGATGATCAGAGTTCAAATCCCACCTTAGACACTTACTGTGTGACCTTGGGCAGTTCATTTAAGCTTTGTTGGCATTAGTTTCCTTAACTGTAAAATGAGGAACAAGAGCTCCTACTTCCCAGGGTTGTCGTAAGGATCAAATGAGAAAAGATGTGTAAAACCCTTAGCCCAGGGCCTGGCACACACAGAAATGTAGCTATCATTATTATTGTTGTTGTTGTTACTGTTGTGTGTAAATCTTTAGGCTGGATATGTGACACGCACTGAACCCTGTCACAAGGTTGGGACCCTGAAAGCAGGTATTGTTTCATTCTTGGTATCTGTATTTCCAGTACCTATCACTGTGCCTGGCATATGGGACACATGCTTAATAAATGCTTG